CCCTACTGTCACTATTACTGGGTGGGGGGTCCACCGAAGCTATACCACCCAAAAACGAACTACATAGGAGGTCTAGGGTATCTTGCTATAGCGTAGATGGAGACAAAGTCCCTCAAACCCCACACTCCGTAGCCCTAAAACCACAAACGCCTTCCCCGGCAAGCCATACCTGGACGCGGTGTAGGTTTTAGGGTTTAGCGGGACCCTAAAAATGAACAAAACACTGCCCCGAAAGCCTTAGAAACAGCCAAAGGGGCCATTATTCTACATACCTTTGGGGTTCAAATGGTTCAGGCAAGCCTGCAAATACCAAAGCTTGAGCAGCTCACCGCCATATCCTATTAAACCTATTAAACCCTAAACCCTAAACCCTAAACGATTCTGTAAACATCACCCTGCCCACAAGGCTTTGCCTCGAGAAGAGCCCACATCGTCTTCTCGGCCTCCGGCTTCACACATATAGGGTCTAGGGGATTGGGGGTTAGGGTTTAGGGCTTAGTTTAGGGCCTAGTACTTGGGGGCACTACTCTGAGAAAATCGCTTTCGCACATTGCACGACTTTCAACGAAGCGCTAAGTTTGCCCAACCTATACATTATGGACAGATCCAAGCCCCCAAACACTTAGCACCCGGCCCTAAACCTAAGTCGGCCCTACCCTCTGAGTGGGAGATCGATATCTCTACATGATGACTCCAAAGCAAGGGTCCAGAATTTTCAGGGGAGGGTACTTGCTTGAGCACAAAGAGTCAGACACCACCAGCCCCGCATTAGCCCATATTGTCTGTCTTCTGCATGCTTCCAGTTACCAACTAAGCTACTACCGACATGGCAGAAGCTCACCCACTGCCAACCAAAAGGCATTAGGTTGAAGACTTGAATTCCATGCTTACAATGCAAAGTCTACCACCTCACCCTCACACCCCAAACATGGGAGACACATAAACAATGTTTCATGCCATTGCCCTGGAAGGGGCTTCACAAGATTACCCAGGCAGTTTTATAGCCAGTTTTATAGCCTTCCTGACAGTGTGATATGGTCATCAGCCACCACGAGTCACGTGGCAAAGTTGAAAGGCCCTGCCGCAAACCCCAAGCCCGCGAAACAGGATTACACACGCGGCTAACGACATGCATCCCTGCGTGTCGTTGTGTGCATAGCCATGTATACAGAGTCTTAACCCTTGCCGTGATTGCAAAGCCTCCGCAGGGTTGATGTAGGAAGAGCCGTGCCCCTCGCGCTTCTCTTCACACTTCTCTAAGTTGATGAAGGCGACTGGCATGTGCCTTGTCAGGGAACAGGAGGAAGTGGTGTAGGACCAATCGGGATACTGGACTTGAAGCCTTTAGGGTGTGAAATGCGTGGAGAAAGCTCTCAGACTTGTTTGGCCGTTGGAAGAAACCCCTTGGGTTGGCGCAGAAGTTTACGTCCCTGCCAAACAGCCGGAAACAATGCAAGGGCACCAGGTTTTGTGAAAAAACTCCCCGCAGGAGCTGAAATCGATGCGGGACACTCTACGCTTGTTTGGGCTCTCTCACTTGCATTCCATCATGTGATGTTGGGTCTGGACTGTGCGATAGTATCATGGAAAATGCCGGGTTATGTTAGGGATGTGTACCTAGATGATGAATGGTCCTCTCAACTCGATCCTTCAAGTGTTGTTTCTCTCTTCGGCAAGCTACCGCACTCCCCAAAGATAACATGAAACCTGGGCAAGGTTCCCGAATACATGGGTTTAGGGTTCAGGGTCATCAATCTCCTGTTAAAAGAAACCCTTGAAGGGCTCCCCTTTCACTTGTGAAATAGGGGGAGGCGATTGAGGCTTAAAAGCCCGGACTTAGCCACCAGTGCTAACTGGAGTTTTTAACCCTCCTTATAGATTCAAACCCCAAACCCTTCACATGCCTATGTCCCCTTTAAAGGGGACGCACCTATAAGTAGTTACTAATTCCCAGGAACCTTCAAGTACTCAGAGCGGTATGCCGACCTCAGGCTTCCACGTCTGCTTGAGCATTATCCTAAACGCGGTTTAGGGTTACGGGCTCAGGGCTTAGGGTTTAGGGTTGGGGACATAGTATATTGGGGATTGCATAGGGATTATATTTCCTTAGGTCCCCTATCCCGTAGCTGTCCCTGTATATCCCTTGGGTACAGGGTACTCTAAACCCTAAATCCTAAATCCCGAACCCTCAGCCTTAAACAAAAGGAATCCTGTGCCTCTGTGGCCACGGGAAGCCCTCTGGCGGCTTTCGGTGGATGTGAGACACGCCGTTCCTCAGGTTCCGAGTGTCTCAGCTCAGGTTTGGGCTGCAGATTTGGGTGGGAATAGAGGAATGGATCCCCACATTAACGCCCCTTCCTTTTTTGCATTCCTTGATGTCCTACTACACACCAATAAGATCAGAGTTAAGGGCTTCGCTTCTAGAGCATGCGGTGCGCAGCTTTTTGCAGCCAACGCTCTGCAGGCGCCCGTTGTAGAAAGCCGCCTGGGCAGGCGCATGTTGGAGCTGACTGTGTTGCTGTTCAGGATCTTAGAGTAAGATGCCATAATGTGAGTATGTAATGCATAACAAGAATAATTAATAATAGTACATGATTTCTTTCTTACCCTACTGTGTTTTAAAGTTCCTTACCAACAACGCAGCTGCGGCAGTTTAGGGATCAGAGGTTGAAGCTTGGGGCTGTATGTTTGGGATGAAGGACAGGTTGGTTGGCTCAATCCCCCACACAGTAATGGGAACCACAGAGGACAATTATAGGTATATTAACGGCCTGTTAAATCCAGATTTAGGGATATAACTGTAGGGAGGATTGGGCTAACATGTTGGACGTGTAGGATTCAGCGGTTGGAGCTTGAATTGCGGGGTGCAAATCAACACCAGCCGGCACAATGAATCGCTCATTACAAGAAAAAACCCTCGCAACCCAACAGCACCAAGGCGTGTTGCGCAACCGTGATAGCGCTTGTGCTTCTGTGACTGCTCCGCCAACACGAACAAGAGGGTGAGGGATGACAGCTGCCAATAAGTCCTAAAACAATCAGCCCTAAAGTTCGAATTTAGGGTTTAGGGTTTAGGGTGTAGGGTTTAGCTACCCCCTAAAGTTCGAATCCTGAAGCCCTGAATCCTGCAACCCGAAACAGTAAAGCCTTCAAATAACCTCTCTCCGCCTCCCCCCCGGGAAGCTCCCACAGCCAGAAAGCACTAAACGCTAAAAACCTATAACCTCCGCCTTCCAGCTCCTGTATGCCACTGTATAGTCCCAAAGGGTCCATGTAGCTATATGGTATATACTTGGGCCTTAAAGTAGGTATATGGGAACCCCTTTGGGCCCTAAGTATATACCATATACCTACATGGACCCTTTGGGAGTCTCAGCTTCCATGACATTTTCTGTTTTCTTTTTTGGTTTGCGTTTTCGCGCTTGGTCATACATGGACCTCTTGCACGTTATTAGTAGAAGTATTATTAGGACTATCGTTTCTATTTGTCTTCCCTTAGTAGCACTATTGCTACTACTATGACTATGACTAGAACTAAAACTATTATTCAATGACTATTTGTATGGTAGTGTTATGGTCATTGTTGAAATTCCTTCTTTGAAATAGGCCTCAACCCTAAACCCTAAACCCTAAGCCCTAAACCCTAAACCCTAAACCTACCTAGACCCCGCTTCCCCCCCCAGCAGCTCAGTGTTCGACCGAGGCAAACTCTGCCACCAGCGGGTGCATGCGGTACTGGGTGTCCAAAAGGCAGGGCCTTCCAGCGGGTTAGGAGGTTTAGGGTGTAGGGGTTTAAGGTTTAGGGGTTTAGGGTTTAGGGACCAATGGTTGTGGGATGTAGAGTCGAGGGATTCATTTTTTTCCGTTTAGGGCTCCAAAAGGCAGGGCCTTTCAGCTTGGCTCTTGGGATCAGAGTTTACTTGGGATGAGGCTGAGGGTCTAGGCTCCAGGGCCGCGGCGTAGCAGAAGACCTCAAGAATTGCATATAATCCCCTTCCCCTAATATCAACCCCCCCACCCCCTAGTATTAAATACTACCAAAATATTGTAATATACCCCTTAATGGGAGTATCTAAACTTAGGGCGGGGTGGGCGGGTTTAATAATAGGGTGACAGGATTATGGTTCTCTCCAAAATTTTCAAAGGGCTCTTACATCGGGGTATCTTCATAGATCCTGGGGGTATGTGGGGAAGTGTAGGGCTTAGGGTTTAGGGTATCCTGGGGTTAGGGTTTAGGGTTTAGGATTCAGTGTTTTGAGGTATCCTCGGTTTATGAAATAGTTGTGGAAGGTCTTGAGGAGTTCTCACGTTAGCATGATGCTCGCTTAAGAATACGAGGAGGACGCAGGGAGGTTGGGAGCCCCCAAAAACTTTTCTTTGAATGGAGGGTATCTTGGAACCACCGGATACTTACCCCGATCTCTATTCCCTACACCTTGAACCATAATCCCTGAAGCCTAAACCCTAAGCCCTAAAACCTAAAACACGAAAACCCAAACCCTAAGTAGTAGTTTCCATTTTCTTTTCCATTATCCCAATATAGCCCCTATATATCCAATATATAATCCATGCGCAGTATGTTGCACCTCCCCCTGCTTTCCTGTTTGGCATGAGCTTGCACCTCTGGGCTCGCCACCAAAAACCCAACCCTTTAGGCTTCAAGGCTGGGCGAGGCTTAGGGTGTAGTGCCATGTTTAGGGTCTAGGGTTCAGGGTATAGGGTTTGTTGTTAAGTTGTAAAGGGTTTAGGGTGATCAAATTATGAGAGACAAATGCTATTTATACTGGTCATCGGCAGAGGCGACAGGACATTACTACCTTGTTGTAAATAGGGGTGTCCTGCCTACCTAGAGTAAAAATCCGAGTCCTTTATACATCCCGACAAACACCAGCTTCCATTTCACTTTCCATTCACTTTCCATGTGATTCTCACTTGTACTAAAAATCACCTACCCACCTGCAGTTGAGGAAGTAGGATTGCCCTGCACAAGACACTGAGACCTCTCAGCTTCCGGCCGAACGCCCTGCGTCACCAGCCGCGTAAACATCGACTCGCCAAGGTTCTCGGTCTCAGCGACATCGGACAAGACCTGGCTATGGGCTCCACCCACAAACTCGTATGTGGTTCCTCCTTGGGTAGTGTATGAGAAGACCTTTGGGATTGCCAGGACAAAGCGAATAGCACAAGGACCTGGGGTGGACTGGGAAGGATCCAGGAGCGATCTCGTTTTCAGACTACTTTTGAGTGCGGCCTCCCGTAGATCCTCATAGCGGGGTCCCCAAGCCTACGCCCTAAACCAAGTCCGTAGTTTGGGGTGGGTGTGGGTATCTCAACCTCAGTGGCATGCTCCTTTTTTCGCTGCATCCTTTCAGCCAGAGCCTCAAACTCTGGTATAGTACAATAGTCTTTTGAGTCTGAGTGCTGTGGAGAGGGCTCCACAAAAAAAAAGTGCCGCTGCTCTCTGGGCTTGTGCAAAAAAAAAACAGATTATCTCCTGCAAGTTCTCTAGTGAACAAGGATATTGTCCGTTCAATTTCGACGAATTACAGCGGGTGTGTGTGTATATACACACACTACAATACTGCATCACAACAGCTGCTGTTTGATTGTCCATGTTTACAAGAACCGTGCAACTAGTAGTGTAACAATGCAATCTTCTGACCTGGGAGGAACAATGCGCAACCTCTCTGACCTCAATATCAGTTGTGATGACGCTGCACACCCTTTAGCTCCCCGGGCATAGCTACCATAATTTTGGAAGCCTCTAATCGGCCATCCGACCGGAATAAACACCATCTGAGCCTAAACTATAAGCGTCAATCAGGAAACTAACACAACTCTCCGACAAACCAAAACAGGTCGAATCTGCAGGGATTGGCAAATATGGAACCTACACCCTCAGTCTAACATGTTTGACTCCAAAAGTTTAGAACATCCGCGACAGAAAGTCGTGCTGATCTATGTCTCTCCTTTCGCAAAAATCGTTGCAACGATCCTAAACACAACGTCGTATAGTCAGCGAAGAAATGCAGTCGGGTGGCCCAGGTTGTGAAATTGTTCAGGCGTCAGTTCGACAGGTTAATTTACCACGGTAGAATCTATGCATGCGCAACCCAAAGTGTCCCAGACCCAGGATGTAGATCCGTAGCATCCCCTGGTTTCACAGACCTAGTTATGTTAGACTGTCTCCCTAAGGGTCTAAGTACCTAATAATCATATACTTACCCAAAACCTGTACTATAATTACTATTACCAAAACCCTAAGTACCCAATTATTAGGTACATGGACCCCTAGGGTCTTAATAAGTTCTAACTCCGGGTTGATAACCCTCAGCCTCCGCCCTGGAAAGGTTGAACACCTGGAGCAATCAAAGCCCGCAACCAAATCCCGCAAGCCCCACAATGCCTGCAACCCCAAACCAACCCAGCCAACTCAATCCTGTGTCCTGCACCTGGACCTTCTGCCAATCCTTGACTACAACTGACAAAATCTGACAAACAAACACCTCGAAAATTCTGTAATCTCCATGACACCTGAGCTCTGCCCAGGACACCTTCTTACAGCGCCGACTGAGAAGGCAAAAATGGAGGCGGCAATTCAAGTAACAAATGGTCTACGGCCCAGACCCTGACTTCTACAGAAATCTACGCCCTCAACCCTAAACCCTCAAACCCCGAACCCTCACCTCCGAATCCTGAACTCCCCCACTTGATTCAAGGCGCTGTGGGCGGCAGCTGACACTGGTCCCCAATTAGGATGGCTTGCTGACATCCTCGGGCGATGGGCACCTGAGATGGAGAGCTGTGTCGGGTTTGGGGTTTAGGGACTGTAGAGATTCGGTTGACTGAACTTGCTTCACCTAGACCCTCCAGATACCCTCCATTACAAGGGCCTAGGTACCCACCATTAAGGGCCATATATCCCCGAGTACTGGGAGCGCTAGCGATAGTGGCGATAGTGGTCACAGTAGCAGTAGCTGTAGCAGCATCAGTATGCGTAGCAGTACTATGCAAGGGGCTGTGAAGTACATGGAGCTCACTGGTTGGTTTCAGTTCGGAATTGTTGTTGAGCAAGATATCAACTTTCTAGCATTGCCATGTTCATTAGGACTGCACAGGGTAATACTGATACATACTGGGTTGCATAGTGGAGATAGACTGAAGCAAAGCTAAGCAACTGTTTCCAAGTGGGATGGGGTAGTGGTGGAGGGTTTTGGCGGGTATCAATTTTAGGGTTATAGTCCCCCTTAAGTAGATAGAATATGGGGTATAATAATATACCCAAAGCTATATTCTATCTACTTAAGGGGGACTATAATGTTATCTGCGCGTTTTGGGTGGGTGTTTCTGGGCAAGTCAAGGCATCAGGATCAAAGGCTTGGAAGATGCAGGGGTTTACAGGTTTGGCCGTCTAGTGGTCAGCATTTCAAGACCCTAAGGGTCCAAGTACCTAATACTCATATACCTACCCAAAAACTGTACTATAATTATTATTCCCCAAATCCCAAGTACTTAGTTATTGGGTACATGGACCCTCTGGGAGATGTCTTGAGTGTCTTGAAACAACTCAGACCAAAGCTGTGGCATCTGGCCGGTGGGATTGGATTTTGGCTGGCGCTGGAGACTACTGCTTCAGGTTGAAAAGGGGGCTTGGGATTGGACAGCTCGCTGTTGAGCAAACGCGGTCTTCCTGTCTTCCTTATGTCTGGACATCGGCCTTTGCAGGGATGAGAGTCGGTCCCCGTGATGCAGCGTTCTGGGACACGGAGAACATTACTTTTGGATACATAAATCTGAAAGCGTTACATACACGAATCCGCAACAACACCACGGGGGAACCTGCACAAAATGCAAACCGGGGTGCCAGCGCCGCTGTTTCCGCAGCCTGGGTGCACTCGTCCACAATGACGGTGGGAAAACGAACCTGCTCAACACACAACTACCATATCCCAGGATCCAAGTACTCAAATAATAGAACATTTAGGCCCAAATGTTCTTTTTTTAGGTGCTTTGGGCCTCATTACATACGAGCTAAGCACTTGGACTCTTAGGGTATCGGTGTGCCTTTCAAAAAAGAACCCTTTTGAGTGAGTACCAGCACTAGAGGTTGCACAAGGGGGCCCCTCCACGCGAGGTGCGATGCTTGTTTAGTGACTTTAGTGAGCGGCATGCAGCTCACACGTGAAAACTGGCTTTTCATCCAAGTACATCCGCTCTGTCTGCTGTTCGCGGCAGCCTCTTTTGCCTGTGCAGGTAGTGCTAGTCGCAGGTATTGATTTTGAGTATGGCTGGTCGCAGGTATTGAATTTTGCAAGGGTTTCCTAGCGTGGCGTCATCCGTGAAGTCCTGGAAAGTCTATGCTACCATCGCACACATAGAGCCCCATCTCTTGTGATGCATGTCTCTCGACATTTCGGGTCCTACCCTCTACTCCACCGAAATCAAACCAACGAAACATCCTTAGATCAAACCAACACAAATCCCTGAAACAGGACTACAGGACTCAACGTTTTGAAAGCCCACTACCCCTAAACCGCAGAGGCCTCTTCCATCAGATGCTGTCACCAACTGAATGACTCCCTGAACCCCAAACTTACGAGTGCTTAAGGTAGAGTGGGGGGAGTGGATCCCTATATAATCCCCATATATAGGTGCTTAAGGTAGAGTGGGGGGAGTGGATCCCTATATAATCCCCATATATACCGCTCTACTGGTACCTATATTTACTCCCCCACTCCCCCTTAAGCACCAATAGATAAATCCTAGACCTGAAGGCCGTGACAGCCTTATCCAGGGTGGTGCCGGATGCACCGATGCATGTCGCGCAAACCACCTCGGCCTTTTTCAGGTCCTCGCACGTACATCTGAATCGCACTTTTTGGGGGTAGGGCCAAGTAAGACTAAGACTATACTCGGCTTCCTAAGAAGAAACTGCAAACCAAAAGGCAAATGGACTCACTCTATAGTAGGAACTTTCTCGAGATGTTGAGGGTAGTGTGCGAGGGATATGGATGGGCCGCAACATGGATGAACCTGCTGCATCTAAGTCCTTACTGGGAAAAGGAGCTCAACGCAATGAGAGGAGAGGGTCTGCTTGATGTACCTTCTACTGTAGAGGCCTCGTGGGGCTTTGAAGCCTGAGGTAGAACAGCATCTGTATGTACATAACGGCTATCTAAGGACTGTGAAAAGGATGAGTCTCATCAACCATTAGGCTCCTATATTGCTGAGAGGCCCCTTTCACAAGACCGAAGAGCAACAACATGCGACACCATGCTGTTACATGTTTGAACGTGATTTCTTCCAGTAGCCCTAGAAATCCCAAGCCTCAATCCAAAGTGGGTTTTGCTAGCCCGAACCCCAACATGAGGAACCCAGAACTGTCATATGAGCTATAGTCTAAATGCTTGAAGGGGGTTCTATAGGGGAGTATCTACAGTAGGGGACTAATATAGGGCTTATTGAGGGGAAATACTAAGAGTTTAGAGTATGGGGTCATATGACTGCAGCAGGGTCCTAACTTAGGTGGCTGGGGCTACCAAAGTCCTCATATTTCTCAAGCCCATGAAGGAGTTGGCCTTGGAGCCGGCTGACGAGAGGCTTGAACTATTGTCAAGATGAATGGAGCAGGGTGCTTTGGTGACTGAAGCAAACCAGGCAACAAATCTTTGGGGGAAACGAAATACCCCAATGGGTGGTTGTCAACATTATGGTTATTTTTGGGATGCCTATTATAATACGGCATCTAATATTCAGGGTACCCAAAAGACGACCACAATTTCGACAACCACCCCAATGGAAATGATTACCCAATTGCCCTTCAAACTTGAAATTCAGAGCTCAGAGCTCTTCGGTCTCAGGCCAGTCCTTGGCCCTAACCATGAGGAGTTGAGGGTTCAGGGCTTATGAGGCTGGCTTTTAGGGGTTTAGGGTTTAAGGAGTATTGAAGCTCAAGTCTCGACCCCGCTCTATGACCCTACAACACTGTCGACCCCCGGAGCCTCTGAACGATCCACCTATCACTGCACACCTGAAGCCCTAAGCCCTACAAGGGGTTTAGGGGTTGTGTTGGATTTAGGGTTCAGGTGTTTTGCAGGGTTTAGGTTTAGGGGTTAGAGTGTAGGGTTCCCTGAACCCAGACCCGGTCCTTCCATCGCCCGTCCAGGGCATAGGCCTTAACATCTTCGCGGATGGCCTCTGGCCGACCGACTCGGACGATGTTCACCCCAGTCTTCCCGATGCCCTGGCCAGGCCAAGATTGATCCCTATGAGCACCTTGACTACCCAGAACCTGCGGATCTGGGACATGCTTCATAGGTACATCATGGCTTCACCTACTAGCCCCCTCTATACTGCCCACCACAAAGCTCCTCAATTTCCCCCAATTATCCCTAACTAAAAGCCCAACCGAGGGGGGTGCGGGAGGTCGGAGGGAAATCCGTGAGTAAAGTTAGGGTGTAGGGTTTGGGGCAGTTTGGGGCTTGGGGTTCCTGAGGATCATGGCGGCCGCCCACGGCAATGCATCTAAAGATTAAGCCGCAACCCTCCCCAACATATGTGGGCTATGGTCTAAACTCCCAGTACCCCCTTTAAAAGACCTAGATTACTCCCCTACATACTCCCCCCTTTAGGAGTTTAGACTATACCTCATATATGGGGGCGTCCGAAAAGTGGGCGTACCTTCTTGGGGATCCCTATAACAAGGATTGTAGGGTTTAGGGTTTAGCATTTGGGGGTCTTTATTGGGGTCCCCTTCTTTTGGCAAACTACCATATGGTTAAACCCTAAACCTTTGATACCCAAATTTCTGTGAACCCTAAACTAAGGCAGATTGTGTTGTCTAGGGCTCTGAGAGCGTGACAAAACTGGGCTGACTTTAGGCGTGCGCAGCAAAAACCTCGCAGGTCCTGTTGTTCTTGGTGTCTTACTGTAAAAAGCCAACATACAAAGCTACTCGCTTCAAGCACGTCTCAGCCTGAATGCACTTGAAGGTTCATGGCATGTAGTAACTACTTTTGAGTAGAGTTATGAGCCTCATTCAATTTTGGTAAGTCCAGTTAGGGAGCAGTTTTAGTGTGACCCTACTCTGGGGTTGACCTGAGCCCTAAGGCCTTGGAGCCGGCAACGCTGACATCGACTACATACCGGTTCTTCATTCAAAACGTTGGCCAAAGCTTGTCTTGTGTTTCAGCTTGCGGTACGAAGGAAGCAGTCTAGTGGGCACGCGCACTCTCCAGAGGGTGCCCAAACAAACAGTGTTCGTAGATAATGACGGAATGCAAAAGAACACGGAAACTACTGCTTTGTTTGGGTATTATGGCGGTTATGTGGTGACGACTGTATGGAACCAACCCAACATTTTCTACTAACAGCTAGCAAGGCTGGTAGACTCAGGCCTAGGACTCTGAGCGTACCCAGCGTACCTGCAGGAGTTTAGAAAGAGTACCCCATTCGGGAGACTCAATCGCACAAGAAATTTGGAAAGTCGGTGTATCCAGCCGTTTGTAGGGCTGCAGGGTTCAGGAGCCAGGGAATTATAACCATGGTACTCAAATACAATTTCAACTTTCAAGTCACAACTTAGGACCTTTAACTTCCAACATGTGCTATCCTTGTTGCAACATCAAGTTAGCATACAAACAAAGAGGAACGCCTGAAGCCTGCAACCAATGATCAAGGGTGGGAAGCCAAAGACCTCAAACGGTCAACAGGTACAACGCTGCGAGATCCAAGTAGATTCTATACACTACCCTACCAGGATGGGCTATTAGACCTCAAAGGGCCCTTAATCTACCCTTATTAAGGTACAGATAGGGAATTTTAGGGTCTAATAGCCCGTACTGATAAGGCTCCAAGTTACCTAAAGAGTAGGTTACTGGGCCATGTAACTATAGGGTATATAGCACCTAGAACCCACTATTTAGGTAAGTGGAGCCCTAGGGCTATACATGCATGGGTTCCCCTACTGCCCCTAATACTAACACCCGCTGGTTCTCCTTTGTCATGCTGCATTATGGGGACCCATGGGGGCCAGTATAGCAGGGGTAGTTGCAGAATCCATAATACACTCGTAAGACCGCAATACAAATAGTTAGCTCAGCCCCTGTCAGACCGGTCTGCGCCTTCACTAAGTTGTCAACAGCGGTGTTACTGTCGGCAGTAACAAGGATTGGTAGATCTACCAGGCCATACCTGAGGATGAGGGAGACATGGATTCCCCTCAGAATCCCCAAAAAGTGATCCCTGAGGACAACATTGCAATTCTATGAAGTGAACAAACTTCTCCATCATGGAGGGGTGCTGGCGAGTGAATGGTGCGGCTGCATAAGTTGACCGCATGTACCTCATATTCTATCTACTTAAGGGGGACTATAGCATCCACAGGACGTCAGGAATGGAAGGGGCTCCCTCTAAGCATGAAGACTGGAAGGAACCGGGGGCTGAAGTTGACTTGTCTTCTGAGTCTCTTGTGCCTCATGAACTCGTAGTCTGAACGCAACTTGCAACTAAGCTTACCCTAAGGGTCCAAGTATTCAATAATCATATACTTAGCCAAAACCTGTACTATTATTGCTACTACCAAAACCCTAAGTACCCAATTATTGGGTACATGGAGGTTACAACAAGCAGCTCCGCCCTGCAGAGTAGCTCATCCAAAGACCCTCGAGGCCGCGAAAAGGGCATAACAAGCAAAGTCCTATCCTTCTTGGGGGCTTCCAGGGATCAACACCCCCAAAATAACGTAGAGGGTAGAAGTATCAAAGCAACGGCCTCTCAGGTCACAAATGCCAGGATTTGAGTTGTTTTTTTGCACCTAGAGTCCTGATATTTGGGCACTTGGAGCCCAAAGCCCAACATAAAAACCCTAAACCCTAAACCCAAATCCCGAAATCTGCTTCTCTCAATTACCCACACCCTAAGACTATCAATGTCAACATCCCAGGCCTTGCGTCCAATCTAAAATCTAAAGTACATCACAAATGTTGGGCCCCTCTATGCCAATGATCATCATAAGGCACCTAGAATGTGTCATAAACGTACCTCTTCAGGACTTCGAGAACCCTTAAAATGTAGATCTGAGTGAAGCATAAGAACCCTGAACCCCTCAAACTTATGCCCTAGCAGTAAACCAAGGAGCCGGACCATTGCCGCAACGATCTGAACTGCCGTTGTGGTCTTACCAGTTCCGGGGGGCCCCTGGATCCTCGGAATCCGGAATGCTAGGGTGTAGCCCTAAGGGTCCAAGTATTCAATAATCATATCCTTACCCAAAACCTGTACTATAATTCCTGTTACCTAAATCCTAAACACGCAATTAATGGGTACATGGACCCTTAGGGTAGGTAGGGTTCAGCAAACAGGCTTGGAGCTGTGGGTTTATGAGTTGATTCTAGAGAGGCAATGGCTGCAGGTTCAGGATTCAAGGCCCTACCTGGACCCCAAAAGTATGTAAAATAATGGCCTTTATGGCTATTATTTGGGGTTTAGGGCTATTATNNATACTTTTGGGGTTTGGGTAGCACTCACGGCTTATGCCGTGTCGCCTTCAAGACGATAGAATACACGCATGGAAAACCTGATGCTGATGCCATGGTCTCACTGAATTTCGTAGCTCATCGGCAGCAGGCTCAACATGGAATTGCCCACGCACGCCATAGTCTGAACTGGCGGTATCCCCCTTTAAAATCCCGTAAAATACTCCCCTCCAGAATCCCCTTATGGCTGACATGGGATTGCTCATGTTTTGCTTCAGGTGGCCAAGCTCCCTTCACCTTTACCCCAATGGTCCAAGTGCATAAATAGCATGTAGTTTTGGCCCAAAATTTCCTATGTAGGTACTATTTTTTTTTTTATCATTTAAGTGCTTGGACCCTTAGGGTTTTGGTACTGAGCTAAACCCTAGACTTTATGTGGCAAAGGTCACTCAGCTTACTGGCGGCTCGTAGGGAATGGAGGAACGGGTTAAAGAGACCAGAAACAACAAGAGGCTCTATAGGGACTTGTGTAAGGATCCGTATGCCTGCAGGCTTGAGCTGCTTGCTCGGCTCCCCTTCGCTTCTGGCACACTGGCATAATTACTCCTGAACATGGAACAAACCCTAAACTCCCAAGGCTTAGTCACCAAGCTCTTAACTTTGAACTCTTAGCAGTCAACATCACACCCATGGTCACAGGTGGCATGTGCAGCTGACACCGTCCTAATCGCTTCGCTTGGACTTCCTACGCCCGCAAACCCTACACCCAAGAATTCAGGATTCAGGAGCTGAGACATCCAAAGCCTTGTAGAACAGGCAAGAAAAATCATGTGACTCCAGGACTAGAGTTCCAGCATATTCCTTGATAGCCCCCCAAGCCCGTGCCATATGGGACTTGGACCCTTGAAGCTACGGAGAGAGTAGCGGGAGAGAGGCCCATTTTTTGAACAGTGCCCAGCATCAGTGTCAATCGGCGAGTTGAAGACAAAACCTCGGAAGACGCTTACTGCACTTGCTGTCTGAGGGTTCAGGATGTCGGGGGTCTAGCTAATTCGCAAAGAGGCATGTTTCTACACAACGCGCAGAGAAATAGGGACCTCACGGCACCGTGTTTCCAGCTCTTTGGACTCCTGGAACATTTACGTCTACGGGTGTCTGCTAAAAGGGTCGCTTCTAAGCACCTCAACTAAGGAGGATTCTTATCCCTAGGGCTCCAGTAACCTCAATAATGGGTTCTAGGTTCCAGAAACCTATAGTTACATGTCCCAGTATTTGGGTAACTGGGAGCCGTAGGGTATACCAATGAAATCATGTCCCGAGAACCGTCTTCCGGGGAACCTCACCAAAGTTTTCACGTTGCAACAAAGCCCCTGCAAAGCTCCTGCTGTCTACAGCCACAAGTTGAGATTTCCCAAGCCATTCCATGAGGTCTTACTGTTGGGGATCCCCACTTGCGAGCGGTCCGCCCTTTAACCCAGAACCCCGAGCCCTAAGATCTAGGCCAGGAATGATAAGCAGTTGCAAAGCTTCGGGGCAAAAATCTGTCACGTCAAGTGGCTAGCGCCTCAATCTGGCTCTTGTTGAGCAGGTGCGCGTAAACATGCTTGGCCTGTGGCAAAGCATAGCTTGACAATGGAAAAGGCCCGGGACTCATCAGATGTCTTTAACATCACTCAAGCCCCTTAAGCTGTCCCTCAAAGAGCACTCTCATGAGCCTGCCTGCACTCGGGTGTTGAGGGAGACTAGCTACGTGAATGGTGGACACCAC